TTTTTTATTATAGGAGACTTACAAATATGAGTAATATTTATATGCAAGAACCAGCCACTAAGGGTGAAGTAAGTAATAGTTAAGAATATTTCAATGGATTGTATATCTGTTTTTAAAAATTTAACCAATATGCAATATTTACTTTCTAAATTTCTATATTAATATATAAAATGATTTCTAATTTGAATTGGAATAATAAATAGTAAATTTTAATAAATTTGGTTTTAAAAGTATTTTACATTAATCAAACTAATATATTTGTTATAACTAGGTTGTAATGAAAACAACTGTTGGTGATATTGAGTTAGAATTATGGGCATAAGAAACTCCAAAGGCATGTAGAAATTTCATACAATTATGTGTGGAAGGCTATTGGGATGACACTATATTTCATAGAATTATCAAAGGATTCATAACACAAGGTGGTGATGCCACAGGTACAGGAGAAGGTGGTAAAATATATGGAGAACCATTTAAAGTGAGACTATATTTAAAAATAAACTGAATTCCTTTTTTATTCAAAAATAATTATTGGGTATATGTGTTTTAGGACGAATTTTATACAAAATTATGTTTTAACTTGAAGAAGCACTTGTAGATGAGGTAAATTTAATGTTTACGAGGAAATATATCAAGAATTGATATAAATATAATATTTTCTCTTTTTTGTAGAATGATAGACCACTTTATCCTCCAAAATTGATAAAAACTATAATATTGAACAATTCATTTTCTGATATTATACCAAGAATAATAGTACAGGAAAATGAAGAAGTAAAAGACAGTTCAAAAACTAAAACAGCAGCAGTAAGGTAGAAATCATATATGTTTGCAGAATTTAGCCCTGATAGTATTATTCTTTGTAATGAAAAATTTTGTTATAGAGATTTCAATCTTTTATCATTTGGTGATGAAGCAGAGGATGATGATGAAGAATCTGTGATATTAAATAAAAAGTTTTTCAACCAGCTGTTGAACTACCTGGACTTCAAATAAAATAAGGAAAGAAGACCGTAGTAGTGATTGGGAAAGTGACGACGAAGTAAAAAGTCAAGAAGAATTAGAAATTATGAAGAAAGAGAAAGAGTTAGTTTATTGTTTACATTATAACTATGTTATAGAAAGTAGGAATTTTTATTGACTGTCTTATATTTATATTTTCAGAGCAATGAAGGAAAAGATAAAAATAAATTGAAAGTTGCAAGAAAAGAACCGAAGAATTTTGTCGTTAACAATTATCGTGTATATGTGAATCTTTCAAAGTGAATAAAAAGTACCTAAGCATTTAACCATCTTAGTTTCATTTTCTTTTTACCAAGAACACTCGCCTTCATTTGTAACTTCATATTCGTCGGGATGTTAATAGAAGAAAGAGAAGGGAGAAAAATCTGTTATATTTATTTGTCGTTTTATTGTTTTGTTTCTCGCGCTTAAAGCGTCACGTGGTTTGAGATTGCTCGACTGCGATCAGCGCCATCTATGATTTTGGACCATTTGCTCGGAAAAGTGATAGGAACATAGAATAGGCGTGGAGGTCGTCGAACAGCTCGTCACGTGACAGAAAAGGACAGAGATAGGATAGAAAAGGATAGAATGTCTCCGGCAGTGAAAAATAATTAATTACTCAATTGCCGTAAACAATTTGTGAACTTTTATAATTTCATTGTAAAGTTAAAACTTTAGGCAACAGTCTTATATAGCTTTCGTAAAGAATTTTACGCTAATTAGTTAGTTATTAATAATTCTTTGACGGCGTCCATGATTTCGTAACAATGGCCGTCTCGATCTTGTATGAAAATATTTAATAATGAGCGAAATTAGAAGCAAAATGTGTTCAAAAGTGATATAAGAAGATTCGCAAGAACGTTGTTCTTATAATGCATACATGAAGTTTCATAAATTAATTGCCCAGAATATAGTAATTAATGAAAAACTATCAGTATGTCCGGCAAGAATTTAAACACTCTGCGAAGTATTTATTAATAATAAATTAATTAGCAACAAATTTATATCCAAACTTATATTGGAAAGTTCCTGAAGGATTTGCCTTTACGATGCAATTCTAAATGTTCACAAATTAATCACAGAAATTGAGTAATTTATTAATTTTCCACTGCCGAATTGATTTATTCGAATATATTAGCGGCCATAACTAGAGTAACATCAGAGCCATCTATGATTTAAGACTGGAAGCTCGAGTTCCGCAACGAGGACACAGATGGCGCCAATAGGCTGTCGAACGACTCCACGTATGTTATGTATTCCTATCACCAAATCCGATTTTTGAATCTAAAATAATAGATGGCGCTAGTCGAATGTTGCTTGATTGGCTATCTTATTGAGGGAATCAGTGCGGTATCAACACGTTGCATTAGGTGTATAAAGAGTTTATTTATTAACTGAATACGTACAATATGTCATATTTTACTACACATTTTAGTCGACATTTTTGTTCATCATTTTAATTTCAGCTATTAATTTTAACATTCTGTCTTGAGTATTAATATTTTTATTTTAAACTGATATATTTTTTAATGTTTAGGATTTAGATAGTATAAAGATCACAAAAGTCAAAACAATTAATAAATAACACAGTTGCAAATACAAAAAAGAAAAGATACATATATACTTACGTCGTTTGACTGTAAAGTTTGGTACTCGGATTATGCGTAAGTAGCTACGGCACTGTCAAGGCTAGAGAAGCGAGCAATATCTGCGTGGTGGTAAAACCCGTATACATGTTACCGATGGACATTTTCGCGATCTAATCAAAATGAAAATTGTTTTGATAATTCTGTTCCATGATATCTTCTTCAGAAAAGTCTACAAAATACGCCACTATGTACGAAATTAGTGTCAGATAAAAACCTTTTCATAGAAATGCAGAAATATGCGCCGAAATTACGCTCGGAAATTTGTTTCGAAAATTTGATGACCAATTATAGTTATTCAGAGGCACAAATAATTATAATTATGGACATTGGTAAACTCGGAATACTTTTGTGGGTAGAATGGACAATAATATCTAACACCTTTTTTACATGTAATACATAGAGTGTATTTAAGTAAAAATATATAAATAATAAATTCGATTAATAATAAACTATATGAAATGATAAATTGATTCGTTCTATCTCATTCACTCTTAATAACAATAACATTTCTGTAGTCGCTCTATTCTCAGACAAAATTCTGGCACATTCTTCTAAACATTTTTTCAAACATCATTCTAATATAATAAAAATATAAATTATATCATAGATTACAGAATTATGACAAATGAGTTTCGCATATTCAACTTCACACACACTCATACACATAAAACCAACACTCACAACTCTTACCCAACTTTTAAGACAAGAATGAACCTCCTAACAATCTTACTTTTTATGTGGTACATCATTTTAGTAAAAAATTGTGCCGTTTAAAAAATTTACAATTTTCGAAAATTGAGAGTAATAAATGAATTTATATTACAAATTTGTTTTCAGAAAAATAAACTCAACAAGAAATGTCCAATGGATATTACAGATTAAAAATCGCGTTGAACAGTGAACAGTATGTCTATATCAAGCTGGACTATAGTTAACAAACATCTGATGCTAGCAATACACTGACAGCGATCTTAATCACTCGTTAAAATTTTCCATTGATTCATAACTTTCGTAAAGAAAGGGTTAATCGAAAGGGTCAATACGAATTAATTTAGATATACTTCGATTCTTCCACGATCTTGTCATAAGTGATGTAATTGAAACTGCAACATAAACCATCGCGGCTCAAACTTGGTCGAAATATAGCGCTACAATCTTTTGTCTTTGCTTTCCATTTACACGCTTCCAGTAAATTTTCACAACTTCGTGTTACCTGAAATCCAATTTTATCTTTTATATCGTCATCAACATTTGTCTTTTTTGTCAGAGTTCCGATTTTTTCGAACAATTTTTTCAAACAATTTCTATTTAAACTGATATATATATAAATGTGCGAATAATCGCTATACATTCAAAAATTACTCGAAATATAACTTGTCGAAAAATACCAAAGAAATCGTACGAAAGTATTTCCAACATATATTACTTATTAATTTTGAGGTTAACTTTATTACAGTTAGAAACTGAAAAGAGTTCGAAATTTATTCTGTACGGATAATAAGAAGGTTCTGTAATTTCTTACTGAATTCATAATCGTTGGTATCGAAAGCTCGTTCATGTCGAACACAATTTGCAATCGCGAGAGATTATTTCGAACATATGAGCCGTGTATTCCAGGATATAATAACTCGTCCAATAATTTCATTTCTTGAACCATAAACTCCTTTGATACGGTCATTGGAAGTGTCCTAAGTGCAAAAATGAAAGGTTTGTTCTCACGAAATAACATTGATATGCAATGATATTTTTATGTAAATATGGATAATGAAAATAAATCGAACGAATCTTCGATAAACAAAGAATCAAACCTAAACGAGGTATCGAATAGAAGATAAGATTCACTGGTTATCCATTGTATTATTTATTTTGAATCGTAAGTATGTTATTACTAAATTATGACACTATTAATAATAGTAAAAAGCACGTAGAAGTATAACTAACTTCTTTATATAGTTACAAGTTTGTGACACAAGGACAAGATGCTTGCCCATTTTTTATCGATTTTTCTCAATGTTTTAGAACAAAGGATCATACGAAATCGAGGATTTATTTATTAATCTAATTATTGGTGGAATCAGCGACATCTGCTTATGAAGAATATATTGATCTAGATACTGATTAATCAGTGGATAAAACGACATCTGTCTCCACTAAAAGGAATTTCATTCATTGTTGCCTGAAGCAGAAATAGAAGCACGTGTGTTATAAGTAATTGTAAAAGACTGATTATATCCGAACGTAGAAATATAAATTGTTTGTATAATTATATCCCAAAGAATATATTATTTAAATCCGGGTTCTTATTAAATTATATATATTGCAAGAAGATACAAACAATGAAGTATTTGACATAACAAATGTTGGCAAGTCGAAGTATTAGGTGACAAATGAGATTAAAAAGTAAAAATATATTTATCAATAATCAAAATCAATTGGTAAGTTAGTAAAGTAATATCTGTGATTATAAAAACGTCGTATGTTAAAATTTTAAAAAATTCTAGTTCATTCGTTGACAGCGTTGCAAAATGTATGATTTACATATTTACTAAACAAACAAAAAGAAAATGGAAAAAGTGGATGAATACAATTCTCGAATGTTGAAAAAAATAATGCAATTAATAATGGTAAGGAGAATAATTCAAAACTTTAAATGTTAATATATCTCGAAAGTGGAAATAAATGGCATGTGACGTTTTTCCATATTATCGATTACAGATAAAGTAGAACGTTATAGATACGTTATAGAACAATTATAGATTGAGAATTTGTTACTTAATAAAAAAATACGGGATGAAACACAATTTACACATAAATTAAATATAGACATTTATACAAATGTTCTAATATTGTAAAACAATTCACAATTTTTATATTCGAATAATCGGTCATTGGCATAATAAAAATTTCTATAATCGACATTGCATTGTATGTAAGTATTTATTTATATCAAAAATATTTTTCCTAAACTGTCAAATACAATTTAAAATGGCGTTCTTGAAAATATTTATAGGGAGAAAGTGAATATTATCGGAGAGTTTATTGGCGAGGTTAGAAATTCTGGTTACGATGTTCGAAGGATAAAAGTACTCACAGGTTTTCAACGAATTTCTTCGTTAGCTTGAGAGATACGCGATTGAAATCGCATATCGTGACTGCCGGAAATGGATAATTCCATATTCCATGATGGGTCGTTTCGATGACCGAGAGGATCGAATGCTTGTGATAATAATCGTAAGTAACTTTCAGCATTCCGGTTGCAATGCACAGGGATGCGAGCACTGTTATCGCCCATGCAATTCTGCCAAAATGAATACCAAATGAGTGCATCGCGATTGCATCGGGGTTCGATTTAATTAGAATGAGGACGAAATTAAGCTCCTTTAATGACGCCTACTTATAACGTACAACGAAACCATAACAATTCGTTTAATCAGTAGACTAAATGAATTTTGGATTTCGTAAGCAAATGGTTTTTGAATCATTCACCGATTTTTCGCTACCCGTTTAACTTTATGTTTTATTTTGATTTTTATTCGTGAAATTTGTTATCCAAAACGAAAATTACGAGATTTATTAAATTTTGGAACATCGGATTCTATTTTTATTATATTTCACGATTTTTATTTTTGTTATCCTTTTTATCTTATTTTATGCGTCTTTTATTATTATTAATTCATTGTTGATTTTTCTAATTACGGTCCTGTCGTTATAATTTGTTTCGTATTTAATAGATCGAGAAAATAGCGAATTAGCATGGAATGAGAAACTCACCTTTCGATCGTAGATCTTTGAGTCTCGCAGATGTATTTACAGCCATGAAGTCCTGTTTCGTGACAAAATTCTGAGGTCTGTTTTACGAAGATGTTCAAACATTTTCGAACAATCTTTTGGAAAATGTTACAACAACCCTGCTTTCTTGCGCGTTTCATGTTTCACGAATCGCGAAAAATCGAATTTTCACCAATTTTTAAGCACACAAAAATCTCTCGAATCTTCACTTCAATGTATTAAAAGAAAAAAGGGAGGAGGGGATAAGAATTAAATTTGATTAAAGGTTTGTGGTTAAATTTGTTAAAATTCCGGAGAAGTTTGAACGATAGGTTGATTTAGAAATCACTTCCACAGAAAAAATTTGGCTATTAGTCTGTCAAACTAATTTAACTTTTATCGAACACCATCTACGAAAAGAAATCAAATTATTACAAAAGTCTCAATGGATATTTCAAACGCGACGAAATAAAATAAAATTTCTATAAAATATCATCGAATAAGTTCCTGCATTTAAACAAATTTTATTTAAGAAAAGAAAAAAGAAAACGAAAGTTTGATTGATGTAATAAATTTGTTTTACTTTTTACTTCGCTTTTGGTAAGTATTAACAAAGTGAATCCGAGCTACGTGGCGTTGAAAACACGACTGTCCAGCGAAACGTAGCTCACGAGCACCAATGCGTTATTTAAGAATATATGCTACGAAGCATGCGATGTCGTATAAAAAATTCATTTCGCTTTTTCCACAGATTCTTCTCTGATAAGTTTAGATCCGAGATACGAATTCTCCACCATGTAGTTAAAAAAGCTATACGCGTTTCAACTATACATAAAAATAAATTATTAAGTGTTTTGCATTGCTTTAACCTCATACGATACAAGGCTAGCACACGATAATTCGTGGAATTAATTACGACTGCATGGAAAAAAGAGAGAGATGTGTCATTGGTAATTTTGATCTTTAAAAAAAAGATTCGATAATTTAAATAAATTATTCTTGAAGAATCGTTCAATTATTAGCTATACGACTGTATTATGTAGCCGATGATCGGCCGAAGATCGACGAACATTTCCGATCTTCCCCGATTCTGTTGATATTTATTTTTCCATTGTAATAGTCGGTAATCTGTTAATTTAAAACATTTTTGTTATAAATTCATGTTTTAGACAATTAGTTAATAACAAGACTAATTTGTTATTAACAATAATTTTAATAATTTATACATTTTTTGTAAATTAAGATTTTCTGATGCAAAAAATGCATTCATATGTTAAAAAATATCAGGCTAATTATAATAATTTATAATTTTGTATAATTCAATTTTAAATCTATACTATTATTTAATGATTAATAAAAAAATGTTATAAAGCCAAATTCTAAGATATATTAGAAATTCTAAAATATATATGCATGTATCACAAGTCTTTAATAAAAAATCGTATTACAAGGAGTTAATAATCTACATTTTATAACCAACTGACTTCTATCAATTAAGTACCTTTAACCTAGAATCTATACGTATATACACACGTTGTATTCCATTTTTCACACGAAACGAAATGAATGCTGATTATAAACTCGATATGTTCTCCAGCATGGACGTCCTTTCAACCGACTCTATCTTCTCCTTCCTTTCCCAATTTCTATCTTGAAATTTCTCTCGGTCCAGCATCCAGTGCGAAAATTCCTTCTCTTGCCTTCTTTTTTTTTTTATATTCCAGCCACTTGTCCACGGTGCTCGTGCGAAATGAAAGCGTGCTCGTTTGCCGCGCACAGGCGACACTCGATTCTCCGACCAGGGTGAAGGATATTGGAAGCGAAATGCCCCGGCCCGGTAGCCACGAGTGTACTACTCGAGGCCAGCGACGGAGAAGGAGAGTCCGCGGCGAGTAGTCGGCCGAGTGACTCGATTCTTCGGATATTAAACTCTGAAGATGCCGCACTTCGCCGCGGCATCTGACTCAGCGAGTGTCATTAATAACTTGGAGGAGATAGATAAAGTGCTAAACACCGTGAGCCGTGTGCTCGAGCACACGTCATTACCCTGACTACCGAGCGACTCGATTAAAGGGTTCCTAAATGCATCGACCTTGGTCGCTACGCGCTACTAGTCTTTCTAAAGGAACTTTTTCTCTTCGCTAGAGGGAGACCCTTCTTGTTCACTGACTGTTGCCGATAGATGGAGAGTCGTCGAAAGTTTTTAACCATTATATGTGATATCTTGTAAATTTCCCGGACGCTGTTCACAAATACATTGAAAACTGTACGATTTCTCTGGTATCTATTAAAATTGACATACTTCTCTTAAAAATGAACTCTATATCGATTTTCCTACATATCAAATTTTTAAGTAGGGAAAACTGAGGCTGGTAAGTCAGTTTCTCATTTTTTAATTTTTAACAAATTAAGTATTTAATTAGTTTCCAGTTATTGTTTTTAATAAACTAATAAATTAAATAACCTCTACAGATAACTAATCACGGGCTCAGAGCCGTGTGTGGTGGTCTGATGGAATTTTCCACAAATTTTGATTGTCAGTCAACATTTTAAGATACTGAGATACTTCTTTTGCGAAGAAACTTCATGCTTCACCGAAAGGATAGAATTTGCAACCTGCTGATCGCGAAAAACTTCATAATAATCTTTATCTCTGTAAAGAAATCGGAAATTTAGTAACCTACGCGTTCCAGTCTCGGTTGTGTGATATATGTGTCCCGTATATTGATATAATCCAATATTAGGGTGATTTCGCGGCACCCCAGCTCGAACGACACGGAGAACTTTCGTTCCGCGGAGGGCAAATGTTTTAAATCGACGGGTAAAGAGCGGAGGGAAGAAAGCTGGTATTTGGCACCACCCTTCTAGCCATTTCTTGCTGCTTAAACGCTTTGACGGCTGAAATGGGAATACTTAACAAAGAGCAATTTTAGAAATAACCCGTCGTTTGTGTATCGGCTCTTGGATAAACGAAACTGTTAATTCGAAATTATATCTTAAACGGGGGTAAATATTTTGTAAAAGTTTTGTAAAAGTTTTGTAAAAGTACCTTTGTGCCCCGAGAATTTTCGATCCTGACGATTGGTGACTCTAAACAGATTTTTGCAATGGAAAACATTTAAGTCTATTAACGTAATATCGATATAGAATATTATTAACGATAATTGAGCGACAAATAACAATCGTAACAAATGTAACACAAATTCGACGCGTATACGAGTTGTTAGGGTGACGAGATTTCTCGATGTGTACGTGTAGTACGGTAATTTTAATTATGAGATAGTTCACTCCGATGTCGGCTGCGCGCAGAGAAAATTACTGCACGTGGAAGGGGTGAATCCGGTGGATGGGGTAACAATGTATTATGCGTTCCCCTGTCAACCCCTCGCGTTAACCACAAACCCCTTCTATTCACCCCCAACAATTCGTTAACTGCTATCGAATTGACTTTAACCGCCGTAAGTTGAAAGTGCAACCCCGTTACCTTTGACAAAAGTTTACAATCAGCTTGACCAGGTGCTGGTCTCTCAAATAGTAAATATTCCTTTCTGTAAATAACACGAAATTTACAAAATTATAGAGATACCTTAAAGGTATACTTTGAATTTACGAAAAAAAGATAAAATTATATAATAACTTTATAAATGAGATCAAAGTGATTGCGGATGTTAGTGGTAATGTATTTGTTTGATACTGAGTTTTATATATTTTGTTTTTTGAAGTTAATCGATTTGAAAAATTTGCACCTCGTATGAAGAAGAAATAGGAAATGATAGATAGACATTTCCAAATATTTCTCGACGAGAGAAAATAGAAAATTTCACGATTATTGTATTTACAGTTATTGTATAATTAGTCTATGTGATATTCATCACAGTATACTATTTGACTGCGATACTAATTAACACTTTTTCATATTAAATGTCTGACGTGTATTGATGGAAATAAAAATGATCTAATCTAATATATCTATTATCATTTTTTTAAATTTTTTCTTTTATTTCTTCATATACCAGTCATTTGGTCGGTTGTGGTAGGTTCAGTAACAATAATATTTCTAAAAAATTTCGAAAATTTTAAAATTTAGTGTCAGGTTTAGATTTCGTATTAAGGAAGAAATAGATGGGCGAAGAAACAGAAAAATCCTGCAAGTTTCGGTAACTTAAGCGAGATCATAGTGATTTCTATGGTATATGTACGGAAATAGCAATAAAGTTAACCACGTGGGAGGGTTTGAAGGGTGAATTGTTTAAAACTACCCTGTCGCGTGTGAGCCCTCGTTGTCGAGAATGAAAAGAGGTTATAGATATGAAGAGTTCTGGGGGATTTGTAGCCATCTATACGGCATCTGTATTATAGGACCTATGAGAAGGGAGCGACGTATTTCGCGGAACATTGAGCCCCATGGACTTTAAAATACACTCGAAACCGAATCTGTCTCTGTGTATACTACGAAAATTCTTCTCCCCCCGATCCATACACCCACCACCTTTTTTCCTGATCGTATAATGTGACCCTCGTGTCGCAATTTCTATACAATCGGTCACCCCTCGCCAATAAGTGGAAAATATTGTATCCCGAGCGAAGAAGATTCGATACCCCATGGAAAATGAGTGACGACAATAATTAAAGAAAATAATTAAACGAAAGTAATTACAAGAAAGATCTTAAGTTCTTAGGATCCATGGAGTTATGAGTTACGCATGTATCTATGTAGTTACGAAAAAATGTTAGGAAGAGAAATTTAATTATTGCAAAAATAATTTACATTCGACCGATTAATCATTTCAAATCTGCAATTATAGTAGATATACATACGAATAATTTTAAAGGGACTATCGCTAAAATATGACTCGCTGAATCTGTACGCGCAGATGACGCTAATGAAATTTAAAGAGGTATAAAAAGACTTGCGAACATTTTTGATTCGGTATGTCAATTAAGATAGGAAGTCTTATCTGTCGCTATGAGCGCGCAGCGCACGAGGATGCGTAAAAGAAGGGAAGCACATAGAGGGTAGTACATAGGACGCACATAGGGGTTTGCACGCTGGGAGAACTTTATGGGGGCCCCAAGTATATTTCCTGATTGAGCGGACTAATCCACGCAAAGGAGGTTTTATCGTCGAGGTATACGTAATCGAAGGGGTCTCGTCTACGCGAATGTCACGTGGAGGAGTAATGCTAGAATTAAGTAGTTCCGTGAAAAACTTAGTCGGCTATATGCATCTGATATTTGTGAATATTCGCGATGAACGTGTACGAAATGCTCGAAGTTACATTTTTGCGAATTATCATCTCTACATAGGCCTATTTCGACGAGACTGATCACAAGAATGTGACACGGATCACTACAGCCTAGACTATCCTACAGCTAGATGATCTGCTACAGAATACCTCGTAATCCAGAGATTAACCGTGAGCCACTCTAACTAGAGTGATGCTGAACTTCAACATACAGATGTCTATTACGTAAATTTTATGTAACAATTACTATATTGTGATTACAAGCAATAGCATCTCGAGATTATGAAGAACAGAGATTCTATAGGTCTTGTCAAGCAGGTCATTGACACCATAGGAATTTGTAATCATTTTTGATTGTATATCAAGATTGTAGACTTTTGTCTCATAGAATTAACTCTTGTGGACCTTGTTTAGAGATCGTAAGACCACGAGTTCGTTTCTAGTATTTAACTTGACACCAAGTAGGTTTCGATCAGTACGTCTCAAGAATTTTTAGAATACAGGACACCTAATTATCTGATATTCAGAAGTACCGATACATAAATACGCTATACCTGACTATCTAATATTCGGAAGTACTGATACATGAACACCCGATACTAGAAGTACCGATCTCTATTTTCTTACAATTAGATAATCGAAAGAAAGACTTACACGTATGTCAAATGAATGCAGAATTTTATTAATTAACCCCTTGACCGATTACGTCTTCATTTTAGAATTATTTGACCCAGACTCTTTATCTCTTTACTCACTGAATGATCCTCACACTATTCCAATAACTACATCTACACACTCTTTTATAGGATCGGCTAAACAGTGAAATACTATAGACTCTCCATAACAAACTATAATACTCAAGGGGTTAATTCATACTATGAATATTAAAAATATTAAAAATCGTCACTTCATGCATACGACTAAAATATACCTATTTCTAAATCATCCTAATCTGTTTACTCAAAAATCACGTGCAGCTGATCAACCGAACGCATTCGTCCTCATCAGAGCATCCTCAGCCTGTATTTACGGTACCATCGTGTCGCATTGTCGTTTTCCCAATCTACGGCCGAATTTCCATGCCTGGAGCAGGTCGCGACGAGATTTGTCTGCGGCGATGTTTACGATAAGCATAAACCCGCGAAAGGCTTTCCAGCCGAGGTTCGTGATCCAAGCGTATCCTGACGGTTAGTCCTGCCGAGTAGACGGCCTGCTGCCCCTATGGCACCCCTGTTGGATCCCTTGCAAGTCTTCCCAGAAACTGAGAACTCGGGACATGGCCTGGGCGGGTCTGCAGCTCGGTCTTTTAATCGTAACTTGCGGCCTGATAGTAAGCGGGCCGACCTATACGGGAGGTCTATTTTTATTGTTCCCGCGATAGTACAGTTGTGCGTTCCGTATTTACGGCGGAGCGAGTAGGGAGAAGAAGACTCGGAAAGGGTCCTGCACGACGACGTTCCACTAGATTCCAGACTTCCCTCGTTATTGTCCATTCCGATGGTAACCGTAGCGAAGACCTCGATCACTAAAAAAAGTTTGTCAGTGGAATTGCGCGTCTTTGAAATTGCATTGACTGATAGCAAGTTTGCGAGAGTGATACCTTGCTGGTGTGTGCGAGTGACAATAGTGTTGGAAAAGGTGAGACTCTGTCTATCTCGATTGTTCAGGTATTCTTCGACTGCCTCGTTAGTATCTTTCGTTTCTATGCTTCAAGTTGAGTATAACGTTGAAGATCCGAAGCATGGACCTGTGGATACAAATTGTTAGTAATAAATATACAACAGTTTCTTTAAAATTATAACGTGTGTACCTTTAAAAGAATCCTCTTTTCAACTATTTAGTAGACATCGAAGGCTTCTTTGGGTTGTTTTATGCCATTAATAAATTATACCTATGCTAGTACCGTCCAATTCAAAAGTCAATAGGAACTATAGATATCTGAAACAAACGTATATAAATATGATACTAAATTTAGGAGAAATAGAGAAGATCAATTATCTATAACAAACCTAATCTCGATGTTACATTCGGAGGACCAGTCATTAGCTGCCGAGATCCATAAACCTACGTATGTACGTAGAATTTTTACAAGCTTCCAAATACTTGACCACCGCTAATCCCATCTAATTCCACTTTGCATCTGGATGGTTGGCGAGACTGGTAGCAGAGGTGGCCGCTAACCGTAGGTCTTTTCCAATAAAAGCTGTAAAAGGGCGTCGGCTAAGCGGTCAGTCCGGGCACTGGTTAATGTGTGGACACTTCGTGTTCACGGCTGTATCGGGGCAAAGAATGAATATTCAACAGTAAACACCGGCAGCGGTTTGCAAAGGGTCCGCGAGAGGGTGTGCGCGGAGATAGAGAAGGGAGAGCAAGGTGGTTCCCCGGGTTTGGCCAGGGGAGATCTCCCGTGACTTGTGCAGATATAAACGTGGTTGAGAGGGACATTGTTTACGATATTACATCTGTAATACCGGTCAAGTGGCCAGTGTCCAGCAGGCGTTCCGTAATCTCTTCTGTGCCAGGACTTCGTTCCTGACTAGATACAGCACGTCGAGCTGCTACGGCCCCGTAATGGCGGTGGACTCGGAGGTGCATTAAGGATAGCACGCTGGTTTAACACGTTCCTCAAGTATCTGCTGCAGTATGCACGTATCAACGTTGCCTATGCAGCGCTACGTTAGGGTGGTACATTTTCACTGTTATCAAACCTGGAGAATAAAGGATGCTGCGGTGGGTAAAGTTTGGGTATGTCCGATGACAGTGAATCAAATTTTACTTATTAAATAGATGGGGTGAAGATTGTTTGGAAAATAGAATTAGAGCAAAGTGGTCTCGGTTTTGCCAAGTTTTCGCAATTATTATTATTCGAGTCACAGAGATGAAAGAGGGTAGGTCTAATTTGTCAAAGTTTGCAAGCTTTTGCAAGATCTTTGGTGTTAGCTTATTAGTTTTCAAATAGTAATTTAATAGTTGAGTCGTTAACTGAGCATAATCTTAATTGACGTATTATAAAAGTAGTATGCAGTTCTGCACCGTGATAAGAAAGAAATAATTTCTACTATTTTGTAGAATATTTGTGGGTTCTTCGACAAGATGATATGTATTTACAGTTTGCAAGATGTAAGACGCGTTTGTAAGAATCGTTTAATAAAATATCAAGGAAATATTCCAGACCTGACTTCTACTTTCTCAGAGACCACGAGGACTTATATTATACTTATTATATTAAATTATTTTTATTATTCACTCGATAATTCGAGTAATTATTTTCTTCATACGCTCTTTGGAAATTTATCGTCGTCTCAACTTCGTTGGTTCTTTGCGACTATCGCTACAGCTTATTGAGGGTTGCTTTTAGATGGAATTGGTTACAAGTGTCTGAGTATTTCAGATATTATACACGACAATATATATCATCCTAATTTCGAGTATAAGAAATTTGTTGCTCCCATTCTCACAACCCAAGAAATTATTATAATAAAAGACACAAGGTGAAAAGTCCATAATCCTTTACATCCTTATACCTAACAACTTCAAAAGAAAATAACTACATCTATATACATCTATATACCTAATCGTAGAATATAGAAGAAACGAAGAGTCAGAGTTTCGTAATTTTAATTCTGTGCATACATATATATATGTCATCGAATAACGAACGAGTAAGACGAAGTATAATCAGGATTCCTAGATTCGGTTCAACCAGAAACCCGCAATTTACTGTTAATTAATACAGCGATTTCACCGATACCAACTGTCCGCCACAGAAGTCGCTGGCCGAAGGACAAACATCGCCGTAGATGGGGTGGACGATGTTTTGATTCTGGCTGTTATAGGGAAGACATATATCACTGGTCCACCCCATTGCTATAGATGCCAGTAGTTAGGGTGACGGTGCTGGGCCCGAATGGACACGCGGCGATTTATTGCCCACGTTCGATATATATGATTATTTAAATCTTTTTCAGCTGCCGTGGTCATTCAACATTTTTCGTCCCTGATACACGCGTTCCAATTTCTCGCTTTAAATTCTTCCCACAGGATATTATTGTCCGAATAAGTCCATTTGCTGCGAACTTCCATTTCTTCTCGTGACTTGATGATTTTAACAATTTCCTCACCATCTTTAACCCTTTGACTATGGCAAATTTTGAAACCAGCACCACCCGTACCGTACGGTAGGGATTCATTTGCGATGCACACCGAGAACGGTGCAACTTTTCATCAGGTGTGCATTTCTGAGAAATTAACGTATATTCGAATAATAATAATGGAAACACTATATTCCACTAAATTAAAACAACATTATTTATTTCTGTGTATTCTGCAGTAAATTTTTACTGCATAAACTTAAAATTTAACAGGAGAAAAGAGTTTTGAGCGCCTTCAGGTGCCCACAGTATCATAAAAGCAAGGTTTCTGAGCCCCTTTAGACGCCCACAGCAGTCAAAGGATTAATTAACACTAGGTTTACAGACGCTATCTGTATACCTATTTCTAAGGACACCTGCCAAATTGACAGGTAAAGGAAACCACGTGCCTTTTTTTTATATTTACAATTGACAGTTCGGTTCCTAGTGCATCCATCAACAGAGCACTGAAGCCGTTGGATTATTCTGTACACTGATGACTTAAATTCTATAGCAATTCTAGAATGACAAAAGACAGGTCCATTATCGCTCGAGATATTGACAATTGACAAAACAGTACCGAGTACAGCCATTATCACAGTACTGTAGCCGTTAGTTTAACGATTAGTTTAATTTAAAAACAATTATATATTATATTATCAGTCTTAATATAAGTTAATTAAATCTGTTATCATCGTATAATTGGAGCAACCCTTCCGTCAAATTCACGGCTTCCGTAAATCTAGTGTTAATATATGGATAATAAATAGCTGTTAGAGCAGAAAATATACAAGAAAATTACGCAAGTTTAATAATAAATTTTAATAATTGGATACTTCTTCACGGAATAGACAATCTTTCTTATTCTTCTAAAAATTTCCAAACGTTCTTTCGTTAAATATTTCGCAAATGATTTTGACGAAGAAGAAAGCCTAAATATCGTAACCGAAAAAATTCACTTTGGAATATTTATATTTAAAATTTTGATTTCCTCTGATAAATCAAACGCTGTGGATAATTTCACGCATTTAAATAATCGCTATTCCTAGACGAGTGAACGAAACGTCGATCGTTTTCGTGATTCCATGTCACTTTTCTTCGATCGGATTCCTATCGCGCGAGTTACACGAAATGACGTACGACAAAGTCTACTTTGACGTGTAAATTCGCGGCGTGAAGAGCAGAAAGGCGTGTAAACGTGGACGCGAAGCGATCTTCGATGCTGGTCGGGAAGTCCGGCACCACGTTTCCGTTATGGAGATTGGTTCTGCTGGCGGAATACAAAGCGAGTGTCCTGTACAGGACGTAATGGCAAGAGTACGGACATGATCTCGAACCGCGTATATTTCGATAGGTCCGTCACGAGTTTATTGAGATTGACACTTACCTTTGACCCCGACCTGTCGGAGGATCTTTAAACCTAACATCACCCGGATGCTATTTGCATTCGAGCCATCCACCATGGGGTGAACCCGTATCGTCTCTTGGGCAAGAGACTTGGCAGAAGGACGATAATTCCATCGAATTTCTCGCATTTTGATTTTCCTAATCGAACTCGTGTCGCGTGTAATTCGTATTTTTTGAAATATTCGACAAATAATTTCCCGGAAAACGTGAAGAGGTAACGGTAGAGATTCTATTAACCCTTTGCACTCGAGAGGTGACTCTTAGTCACCGTTTGTTTTAATGCTATAACTTAAATAACGAATGATCACAATTATATTAAAAACATCGAAATAAAATTATTCTATGCGTTCGTTCCTCACGCAAATTCACGATTTTCTTTTCTTAATTTTAGCATAAAGAGTATCAGCGAGCTTATGAAAATCTAAGAAGAGCTTCGAATTGCATCTTCACAATGAAGAAATCTTCGAGTCCAAAGGGCTGATAAAAAGAAACAACCATAAGTTCGCTCTTTCCATCAAATTTCGTTTGACGGATTTCATCCAACGACCTCGAGCTTGATCATCTTCCGTCTTTAAATCTGACGTGATAATCTACACGGAGACACCATCGCGAGTTTTAGATAGGTGTATAATAATAGAAAAGACCATAATTTCGCTGTATCCACCAGTTTCCAATCGATTTATCAAATATCGTCCGATGTCAATGTAGCAGGCTACACAGGACACCATCACGGGTTCCAAATCGGTACATTAACCCTTTGCACTCGAGAGGTGACTCTTAGTCACCGTTTGTTTTAATGCTATAACTTAAATAACGAATGATCACAATTATATTAAGAACATCGAAATAAAATTATTCTATGCGTTCGTTTCTCACGCAAATTCGCGATTTTCTTCTTTCAATTTTAGCATAAAGATTCTGATCACTTCATTTATGCAAAGATATCAGATCACCACTTGGTTATAGAATATCTTCCTGATTTTAATCTTAGGATGATTTAACTCGATATCTGTTTTCGTTAATGCGAATCACTAATTTAAAACGGAAGTAGATATATCCAAACTATGAAATCTGCAAAATTTAGGGAAACTTCGAGTTGAAAAACTTTGAAGCTTCGCATAGCTTTTACGTCTTGGTAGTATGAAAATTGT